AATATATATATATATATATATATATATATTGGCGGCTAGTGATATGGTTTAAAAAATATTGGCAGACGAGCCTATAAATTAGCGTGAACGGTAAGCACATATACTATTTCATAAGCATAGTTTACTTCTATTATATTGGTTAGATTATCTGCTTGGGAGATTTTTTCAATCTGAAATTTTAGAAATCATTTAAGAATTACTAGATGATTATTTTTAAAAAAAATTGAAATCAAAGTTTTCTAGCCCTTAGATCCAATCATCTAAAACTTAGATGGTCCCTATTCAATCTTGAGATATTATTTTCCAAATGCATGGAGGTACAACTAATTTTTTTTATGGAAGTTAATCTATACGTTGAAGAGACTATATCCACAAATTCGAGGTTCTAAAATTAAGGGTGAGGTTTGTATGAGGTGTCAACCTTATACTATTGAAGTAAGGTGTACCTCAAAATTATGCCGAAAATTCAATTTCGGTGCAAAGTTTTGTGATGAGATATGAAAATTTATTGATGTTCCCAATTATGAAATATGAAGTTCAAAAAATGGTCACGATCAAGCAGATCTATTAACACTTTAAAATATTAAAAATGGATGCTCTAGATAATATATTAGAAGACGAATTATTTTTGGGATTAAAAATCTTTTTTTCTTTTCATATCTATTAATCTCGAGGCTGAGATTATCGATTTGAGAGTTTTACAACATAGAAAAAACCATCTCTAGTAGATTTTTTGGTGTACCTTATTTGTACATTATAAAGTTGACACCTTATATAAACTTTATTTTTAAAATTAATTCTAAAAGGAGTTTTACTTTACCAGGGTGAGTAAATAGACATGCTAATCTTTGGGGCTCTATAATTTTGACATTCCCCAAAAAATGAGGTGCCTTTTTATTGTTTTATCTCTCAAAATTGGGGGTCAATAAGGTTGCAGCCATAAACAATCCAATTAAAGCGCCCCTCGAAACTTTTTCATAATATATAATTTTGGTGTAATTTTTTTTAAAAATTATTCAAAAATATATTTTTATATCTAATTCTAAAAAATAATTAAAATAAGATAGATTTATAAACATAAGAAAGTATTGAAAATGGCTAGTCTAGATAATATGTGGCAAGATGCCCTATTAGGGAACTTAATTTTTAATTTTTTTACATTCATTAATCTCGATGAGAAATCAATTAAAGGGGTTTTTAACATTAACAAAAAGCCTTTGCAGATGGATTTTTGAGAGGCGAATGTAATTCTACATTTTAAAGTTGCAACTTTAAAACTTTCTCTCAAAAGTGGACATTCTTCTCTCTCAACGTACTAACATCTACACACACCTCTCTCTCTCTCTAACCATTCTTCTCTCTAACATCTACACACCCTCTCTCTCTCTACTAACTCTTCTCTACTTAACATCTACACACCCCTCTCTCTCTAACATCTACACACCCCTCACCCTCTGTCTAACATCTACCTTCCCCTCTCTCTCTCTAACACTACACACCCTCTCTCTCTCTCTCTAACGTCTACCATCCCCGCTTTCTCTCAACTAACGGTCTTGAACGATTCGTCTCCATTCCAATTCTCTAGCATTTAAACAAGGAAAAAGTTTATATAAGGTGCAATCTTTAAACACAGCCTCGCACAAAAAAAAGAATAAAAACTGCTCTCTCACTCAAACAATAAAAAAGTTGACGGTCATAAAACCCCTCTCCTCCCTCTCTCTCTCTACAATACCTTAACAAAAGTGAACAAAAACTTTTCTCTCTCCTCATGGAACCTGGAGCTTCAGAATCTGCAGCAGAATTACCAGACAATGTGTCAGAGTCATCTAGGGCTTCTGTGAGTTCTCAGGACCATGAAGATCTCCGAGACTCAACTGACAAATCTGTTCAAGACCGCAAAGAAGCCGAACTCCAGGTAATTTTTAGTTCACTTTTTCTGCTCTGGGTTTTCTAGAGAGAGAGACCTTGTTGGTTTTCATATGCTGAATTCATTTGCTTGAAACTGTGCAGAATTGGAAATTTAACATGCTGATAGCCTCACTGAATGAATGATGCTAAACTTTAGGATAAACTTGCAAGATAGGAATTTATATCACGTGAGTAATTGGGTTCTCTCTTTCATTAAAAACTAAAGATTTCATTCAAGGTTTATCTTTGTTTACAATCGGGATTCGAATTCTTCAATTATAATGGCCATTTTCTTGTAGAACTATATGATCAAGAATTTATTGATCAAATAAAGTGACATCCACAACAATTCTTTGATCAGATAAAGTGACTTCAAGAACGGGCTTGAATGAATTGTATGTAAGCCCTTTTCTTTTGTTGAATTGTTCCAAGTAAGATATTCGGGCCGGTATCTCTTGAAAATGGGTAGTGTATATACATTACCAGTTAGTATTACTCAAGTTTGAATCCCATCCAATCCACTTTTCAAATTTTCTTGGCCCTTTAGGCGTCCCATTGGTGGTAGACATGTCAGTTTAGATGAGGGATCTCTCAAGGGTTCAAACATTTGAAGTTTGTCCTGCTGGGCCCAAATAAACTGACTTAGCCTTTTTGTCTTTTTTTTTTTTTCATTTAGCCCACTTGGGTGTTACATGATTTTAAAGCAAGATTTCATGTTACTGAAAGAAGTCGCATGGTGGGAAGGCATGAAAAAGTTATCTGTAATGTGGGCAACATGATCCGTGAAATATATTACTTTTGGTGTAGGAGTTATGTGAGCCGTGTCATCTGAGTCTTAGAAAATCGAACAGTTAGCTGACCATTTGGAGATCCGGCTCCAGTTACATTTGTACTTGGGAAAGAGGCTCTAAAATGAATGTAGTTATTGGTTCCACAGCGATATTTGAATTTAGTCTTCCTTTTCTTGCGATACATTAGTGTAGGAAGTCAGATAAGTTATGTCTTCTATGCTTCTTAAATAGATACAGATATGGCTTAATTCTCCTTTTTATGCTTGTCATTGCAATTTGACAAGAGCTTTATAATGCTTATATTTCAATTTTGGTATCTGGTCGTGTTGAAGTTGGTATTTTCCGAATTTTTGCATTCTTGTTTACATTCTTACCTGTGAAGATCCATTCATTATCTTATATTGTTTCAACTCTGTTTGTTCTGGTTTCATCATCTAAGCATCTTTTTGTCACAGGCATCATCAGCAAGAAGTGAAGAATACAGGCTCCTTTTTCATCTTCCTGCTGAAGAAGTAAGTTCTTCTGATATTTATTTCTTTTTATTTTTGGTAAGCATTCGTCAGCTTTTCTGAAATCAAAAGGTTTTTTGGTAAAAATGATTATTTTCTTGAAGTTATGGAATTTTCCTTTTCTATCTTTATAAAGAATCCCAAATAGATTTGTGGTTGCTTTTGGTGGCTATTCACATGATAATGGTTCAAATGTGAAGAGATCCATTTTTTTTTGAAGCGTTTTTTAAATTTTTGCGTAACCTATTTATTAAGCGGGGAGGCCTTTTAGTATGGTAGTTATCAACTTTGTCAGGAAAGTAAGCTATTTAATGGGGGCATTCAATAAACAAATGAATGTGAACACCTTAGTCATGATACACAAATAAATGGTTCTATAGAATGAACTTAAACTACTACTTCCATGTTTTCTTGTGGAGCAACATTTTTATGTATATAAAATAATTATATAAAGTGATGAAATGTTTCATACAAGATAATAATAAAGTTCAACTCAATGGTTTTGGTTTGCATGTAGGTTCTTGTTCAGGATTTCAACTGTGCCTTCCAAGAGAATATTCTTCTCCAGGTGAACATTGTTTCGTTTTACTTGGCTCAACTGTTACTTGAGTTACATGATTATCACATTGGGTGTTACATTTCTGAAGTTTGTTTTATTTAGTTTTCTCAGATGCTACAAACTATGATAAATTCATGATTCCTTTTGCTGTGATATGAATTGTTGCACTTTCAGTTGTTCATTTACATGCCTTGATCATAATTTTCGTAGATTGTTTCAAGAGACCTGGTCATTTGGTATGAAATGAAAAAACTTAGTATTTCAGGGTTTTCCTTTACGTGGTCTGATTGGGCTTGTTAGTTTGCAGGGTCATATGTACTTATTTGTGCATCATGTCTGCTTCTATTCGAACATTTTTGGATTTGAGACAAAGGTATGTCTTCGCTTCTACATTTATTAATGCTATTTAGTTTATGTGAAGGATGCCACAAATAAAAGATAAGGTGCAAGTAGTATCCTATGAGGAAAGTTTATTATAGTCCAATTGGCTATGGAAAACCGTTGTCTGCCATCCAATCTGATGATGGCTTATGGACAGTGAGTCAGGCCAAAAAGAGAGCGTAAGTCAGTGGTTCTCACACTCTTGTGTCCATCATTTCATTGGGCAGTGGAGAATTGTTTTCAATAGTCAATTTCATTGTAGTGCAATTTTCTTATGGGATTCGCATTGTACCACATTATGTCTCATTTCTAGCCTAGCCATCATTTTTTTAGTTTATATTCATTTTTTTGTTTCCCAGTGCTCCAATGTATGGTTAATTTTTATGCCAAGCACCCCCGAATTGGGCTATGTATCCTTTAGTAAGTTGAACAGTGTGAGTACTTTATAGAAATGGATCTTCTTTTGTACTTAAAGCAACTCTATGGCATGAATTCGTACTGCAGAGAACTATTCCTTTTCAAGATGTCTCGTGTGTTCGTAAGGCAAAAACAGCAGGATTCTTTCCTAATGCCATAGAGATTGTGGCTGGAGGGAAAAAGGTATTTCATTTTCTTTAGCTGAAATTTTATTTGCGTTTATGTCAGGATAAATATGTCTTTTGGAAAAGTATATATCTTGATGGAAAACCATAGTCCTCTGGGGTCATCACGATCCCATGAGATGGCAAATGTCGATTGAGAGCATGTTGGACCCAGCACAGCAGGGGATGACCCCAAAGGTGGCTCTAATCTCTTTCCAGTACCATCCATTGTATTGGAGGGTGGTGACCCCAATAGATTGTGGATTTCCCTATTTCCTTAGGATTATATTATACATGCCCAATTCGCTTGATCGTGGTACCTTTGTTGCCATTAAGTCAGGAAAGGTGACAATGAGCTGATTTACTTGTTTATTAGGGCTTCCTACTTGAATTGATTGAGCTATATTTACAATAGAGTTAACCATCCATAGTTTTAGTTTTGACCAGAGTTTAAGTCACTAGGTCATGTAAGTATCTCATTTCTTTTCTGATATTGCAGCATTTCTTTGCATCATTTTTATCGCGCGATGAGGCATATCGGCTTATTGTTCACGGATGGTCACTCCATAGTGATGATGCAAAACTCCTTCTTGATTGTCAGGTATGCCTGTAGGTCCAAATTAGACAGGCTTCAGGAGGATTTCACTTCCAGATTGTTGAACAAGAACATATTCATTAGAACAGAAAGTATATGTTAATATGCTAAATTATGGAAAGCCATAGTTCATTCGGGTCATCATTGTCCAATTAAATAATGGCTGGCATGGAGAGAGAGAGAGAGGAACCCCCAGAGGAGGGCATGATTCATTGGTAGGTCGAAGCATATTTCTATCACCATCCATCTTTTTAATAAACGGTGATGGCCCCCATGTACTATGGGTTTCCATAGTCAATTGGATTGTATTATACCTTCCCCTGAAGATTAACTTGTCTGTCTGTATTCTTTCCGTTATACACTTTACTAAAAGCTTAAAGAGAGAGTGGGAGTCTCGGATTGGATTTAAGTGTAGAGAGAAACTTGGATGGGGTTATAAATTGGAAGGAGATGATGAATCCCTTTCGGTTAGGATTGGCTTTGCATCAAGAGATAGAGATATGAGGTACCTATTGTTTTAAGTTGTGATTCCTTTTAAAGAAATAAAGGGTTTTGATTGTCTTGTGCAACCGACAAATGCACATTTTAACAAATGCACATTTTAAGCCAATTAGAAGGAAATATAGATTGGCTTGGAAGAGCAGCATATGAATATCTTCAATATATTCTGCTGAGGCTTTCTAGTCATTCATGTTTATTTGGTGTTAATGGGAATGACCGAAACCGAATGAGTTCTTAAGAGAGAACATTTTTCGGTTTGGTTAGTATGTTTTAATTAGTGGACCAATTTGCCAGCTGCCCACACCTTTGCTCCAAACACCCCACACATCCACACAAAAGGGATGGTTCGAGGTGTCAACTGACTATGAATGGAAGAACAACACACGCCTGTCATCCGTTATTGACATCTGATGTTGGGGAGTTTGGGAAAACCCAAATGATTGCATGGTATACAAATGTCTGTGCATGTGCATGTGCATGTGCATGTGCCTGTGTGGATCTAGTTTGTGTGTGTGTGTGTGGATTTCTCTATTGGAATACCAGTTGTCTTTATAAAGTTTGTACAATGATGATCTGTCTAATATTTTTCATTTTGTTTTAACGAGTGATCCTTGGGGTTATTATTTTAATTTTAAGATGCTTGTGTTCCTTTCAGGAGTTAAAAACTGAATCCAGCAATCAAGATAATATACTTCTGTTTTTTGATCGACTTAAAACTTTTAAACTGGTTGGAGCTGCTGAGATCGACTCTGTGGACAGGTTATCTACTTTAGTAAATTGTCACCATTGTAAAAATCTTTGATTTATTAGCTGACATTTGGACTGGCAGCCAGTACTCTCTCTTAAGCTTTCGAAATTGTATTGTAAAAAAAGTAATGTTTTCAATATTTTTATTAGCATCTAATTTTTTTTTGTTCACCGTAGCAGCTTCATTCTCCCAAAAAAAAAAAAAGAAAAAAAAAAGAGAAAAAAAAAAAAGAATTTTATATAAAATTCAACTCATATTTCAATCTTCGAAGAGCTTATAGAGGAAACTTATCAAACCAATATTCGACATTGTAATTGCATCTGGTACAGGAGTAACAACGAAACCCAACTCTTCGAAGAGTCGATTAAGCTTGAAAACAACGATGGTAATAGCAGTGAAGCTCCTGATGAAAATCTTTCAGAAGTTCAGGTGATAAGGGAAGAAGAACCTGCTTTGGAGTCTTCAAATATGCCATCCATGGGGGCTTTGGCTTGGAAACCAGAAGATGTTGATGCTCCAAAAAGTGAGTTGGTTCTGTTGTATACTCTAAATAATGAGTTAACTTACTTTATTGGAATTCACTTTTAGCATTGGTCACAAAGAGACCATAATCCTGTGGACTATGTAATAGTCATAGTCATTGGATCATCACCATCAATGAAATGGTAGCTACTGATGAAGAGAGAGTGGGACCTACCAGAGCAGGAGGCGACCCCAATATTAGGTCCCACTCATTCTTCTTGAATATTCATCGTGACAGTGATGACGGAATGGAAAATGTTTTCCATTGCCCATAGGATTGCAGTATGCCTTTCCCCCGTTTTTCGGCTCTGTGCTTTAGAGAAATGGCACACACCCTCTCTCTTATTGTTCTCTGTTCTTTTAAGAAACTACAAACATTCTCTCTCAAAATTTTTCTGATTTGGAGTTTCTGGTTCGTTCTATCCTTGTTTTGACCCTATGCAGTACCTGAACATTATAAGATGGTTGCTGAATCAAAATTTTCAGTAAGTCTTCTCCTTTTGAGGATCATTTTTCTTGTGAGATGAGCACTTTACTGTGCGTTGCTTTACTATGGTTTCCAAAGTGTTGCGATGACTTGACTGGCAGATTTCAGTTGAGCAATTCTTCCAACATTTTTTCTCGAATAGTGCTGTCGGGTTTGTGGAAGCGTTCCATAACAGGTGCGGAGACAAAAGTAAGGAAGCAGCCGTTAGATACCATACTTTTGCTTCATATATATTTTTAATTGGTTGGACTTTGGACTTATTTCTATACACCATAATCCAATGGAGCATGGTGTGCAATACGCTAAGCAGCATCCACTGCCTTCTCCTGGTGAAAGGCCTCGGAGATTAATTGTACCTAGACGAATTCATCTAGTGTCCCCAGTATGGTTAATCTCTGCTATCTGTCATCTGGAATGGATGGTGGCTGCCCTTTGGAGTACAGGGTACTGTACTTCACTGGATTATAGATGTTCCTTATTTCTATATATTTGTATATGCAACAAAAGTATTTTCATACTATTAAGGCAAAAATTAACAAAAAGAGAAGATACCAGCTATCCATGATGCTTAGAGCTTCGCAAGATCGTTATATTGAGTTTGCTTATGGTTCTGATCATGAAACTCACAGATTTCAAGTGTACTTCTTGGTACGAGCACGAGCAATTTGGACATGCTCGTGATTTCTCCTTTCAACATCCTATAAAAATATATTTCGGTATAGTAACATGCTCTCTTGTCTTGTTCTCGCATATATATAAGATACATTGAGTTTACTTGCCTTTCTTTCTTTGTATTTTTTTTTCTTCGGTTGGGAGGGTGGATATTATGTATGTGTTTTGCCTTTCATTTCATGCATGAACACGTTGTTGAAGTTTCTTGAATCTTAGTCTTGATTACTCTGGTTCTCAAGGTGCCAAATTTGCTAACTGTCAGGAGGTCCAAAAGTTCCGAGTTTACAAAGACAGGTAATTTGCATTTTGTGCCCCTTGTTCCATAGTCTGTTTTATTTATTGTTGGTGACAGTTTGTGGGTTATATGAAGGATCTTTTAACTCTGTTGTGTTGCTTGTGAACCAGCCATTTGGTTGTTGAGACCTCACAACAAATGAGTGATGTACCTTTTGGTGAACATTTTCGAGTTGAGGTATAATTTCTGATGCCTGTCTTATGCTTATGTTGAGTAAAACAGAGTCACATAATTCCATTGTTGCTCACGCATGTATCTATCGCTTTAGAAATATGAAGAGAGTGTGCTTGATGAATCCATTCTGAAGATACGTTGGTGCACATGGTAAATACACCATGTGCATAAACTCGTGAATCAGTGACATATCACATATTGAAATGTATATTTATATAAAAGAAAAAGCGGAAATCCTCACTATGGTATACGGAGAAGTAGCTTTGATGTCCATTAATAATGCTTGGATTCTCTTGAGATCTCATACTTCATGCTCCAAACTTGTGAATACTTAAGTGCTTTAAGATGAACTACTTTATGCATCTACTGTAACAGCACTAATTTCTGTACATGGTGGAATTTGAACTATGCAGGCACTTACTAAGATTATCATCAACTTCTCAATGTAGTTATCCTGATTTATGTAAACTAAGTTTTGAACCTTGTATCATTCTCAGCTAAGAAGAGCTTAAACTTCTTAAACTACTCACCTGGGAATTTGAAGTAACTTGGAACAGAAACACAAGCCTGACTATAACATAAATTTGTTCTTCAGTCTTCGTTATATCTCATGCACAATATAAATCGACATCCGATCCATAGCTGATAAAGATTAAATCTATGACTAGTTGAGCACAGCTTTCAGTCTATATCGATCCAATGATAACATATTGACTACAAGTTCCACACTATCATCAAGTCATGTGTTATGCCTTACCATGTCCTAACACACGTGGATGCTGAGCCTTCTGCATCCACCTCGTGGCAGATGGTATCTTGAGTGGTGCTAGATAACCTTCAGTCTTTTCTATTGAGTGCTCTACCTGGAGTTCTCATGTAAACAATACTGGATTCAACTTTGGGGCCACCTTTTTGTAACCGTAAATGGCATCTTTATGTGCGCGGACATGCATAGCTTTGTTGCAGCTAGAAGATCCCACAGTTGCAGGTATGAAGAAATTTTTTTTTTTTTGTTGTCTGCAGGGACTCTGGGATGTGCAGAAAGGAGATAATGAGGAAAGTGAATGTTGCACACTGCGAGTGTACGTGAATGTAGCATTTTTAAGGAAAGTCATGTTTAGAGGTAAAGATCTATGAGAATATTTAGGTGTTCTTATGTAAGAATGCTTATGTATAAAATTATACCAAGAACTTCTCGTTTGTCTCCCTTGTTTTTTTCCCATTTTACTTTATTTGGAAAAAAGGGGGGGTGGTGTTGGGGCTTCTTTAGTTTTATGGTGACTATCTTGCTCATAATAATTATTTCTATTCCTGGTGTGCATTTTGGTCTTTTAGTTGGGGTTCTTGAGTTTTACAGTGACTATCTTGCTCATAATAATTATTTCTATTCCTGGTGTGCAATTTAGTCTTGTAGTTGTCAACATTCATGTTTGTGACAAGAATCGGATTCTTTTTGTACTTGTGTCTATCTAAAAGTCTCGATGCTTCCTAGAATGCTATATACTTAGTAAAAGGCATAATAATGATACGCTCTGTGCTCGCTGCAGAGCTCCGTAAAAAGGGCAGTTCGGCTTAGGTTGTGCTTTTGACCATCCAACCTAATATTGTAAATGCATGTCGTAGACTAGACTTTTGAGATCCAATACAAGAAGAAACATAATCAGTGTGGCTTTTTTTTGGGTCTTCACTGGTGAATGTATTTATTGCAGACTTGTAGAGCGACCATCACTTCCTCTATAGTATTGATATTTTCACATGAAGTATTTTTTGGTTGATTATGTTTTAAATTTATAGCTGTGCCAAATTCTTATACAATCAAAGTGCCTATGTGAGAAAAAGACGAGGGACAATAAACTCTTGTAGAGAGAGGCTCTATAATCTGCTTTGGAGGCTTAGAATTCCACCATAGGTTAATCAAGCAAAGAGATACTAGTAGGACAACAAAGTGTCATTTGTTACTTTTTTGAATTAGTGATTTATATTCTTGGTCACGTGCTTGAATTAAAGTCACTAAATTCTTCCTCTACTTATATTTGTTGGAAATGGATTTTTCATTTTTTAAAGTGATGATTGAACAGTGCATTTTACATTTATTGCGACATGGCTTGAGTATGCTAACAGGGAAAATTGAGCAAGGAACAAGTGAAGAATGTCGGGAAGCTTATGCACTTTGGATTGACCTTGTACATTCTTCGCCTAATTTATATTTTGTTCATTTTGATGGTGAATATCTTCAGCTCAATTTCATGTGATTCTGCTCTGTGAATTTCTAATGACATATTAAACTTGTTTCAGGCACATGATTTGCTCAAGCGATTGCAAATCGAAAATACTAGAACATCAGAAGGTGAGAACCTTGAGTTTGCCATATAAGTCAGTGACTTACTGTGTATTTGTGGGTGGATACTAAATTGAAACTTTTTAGTGATTTGAAAGTTTGCTTTAAAGAATTTTATTAAATAAGTTCTATTTTATGTGCCAAATACAGGGGTTGCAAGCCTTGTAACTGACAATGCAAATGCCTCTGATACCAATGTTGATGTGGAAACTGTTGCAGCTCTAAAGATCCCACAGTCAGCTTATGATGCTGTGGTTAAGGATGCTATTTCACCGAAACCAGCAAATCAACAAGAATCAAGCAATCTTTCCTCCATTACATCACTTCTTAGAGAGTTATGCTCGTCTTTCTACGAGTATCTCAAATCCCAAAGCAGCTACCCTGCATTGATTATTGTAATCTTACTCCTCTGCATCCTAGTTCTTATGCAAGTAAGTACATGGATTTTTGTTTTTTTGCTCAATAATGTCTGTTCCAAATTCATGCATGGATGTTTAGCTTAATTATTATTTGGCGCTTATCACACAACGTCCATGTGCCATAAACACCATACAGGTGCACCTGCATGTATTTACATGCATGCATACATGTGTATGCATGTATATGAATTTGTGTGTGAGCAGAGATCAGAGTTAGTTTTTTTAGGTTTTTTTTGGGGGGGGGGGGTTGCGGGGGGTGGTGGTGGGTGTTCATAATCTCTTCTCCAGACTGTCAAGTATAGACTACATGGACTTGCAAGCTTTCCATTATGATTTAGGCATTTTCCTAAGCTTTGCTTTAGTCTTTATTTTGTACTAAGAAATGCTGGTGTTCTGATCATTTCTTTTTCTTGAGCAGGTAAGCATTGTAGTTTTATTAACCAGAGGTCCAAAAATACATATGATTCCTCAAGAGAGCTACATGAACAGCTTTGGTGGTGAGAGAAAGGAGGCCATAGCTTGGATGGAGAAGCGAGTCCACCACCTCAAGGAGGAAATTTTCTTCATTGAAGCCAGGTTAGATAAAATGAGGCATGAATATGAACTCCTAAAATCACATTTGCAGGGTCTTTTATAGAATGAAACTTACAATACTTCCCTATAAGTTCTTCCTCAAGAAAAGAGAAAAAGGCCATAAAGAATTTCTTTTTCATTCTTTGGAGAGCTAAATGTAGCAAGGGGAAGCTTGTTTTTTTTACCAACAGAAAAAAAGAAAAACGTTGTGAATATTCATCACTGTAATATCTCTACTTGAAAAGTTCATGGCGCTGTACTTATCATGAAATGAAGAGTCATGTCAATATATGTTTGTTTGATCGTTTCTTAAAGTGCAGTGCTATTCTTTTTTTTTGGGTAATTAAGTGCAGTGCTATTCTGAAATTTGTTGCATGCAGTTTTGTTCTATTCATAAAATTAGGAAAATATTATTAAAATAAAGGAAATATATAAAAAAATATACCTCACTTATCAACAATTTTGCATTTTACGCTTTTCAATTATACCAATTGGTGATCATGTGTATTTTGATGGGTAGTTTAAATTTATATCAGGAAAAGGGCTTGGTCCTGGTGGTAGCATCCCCACACCCAATTACCTCATCGTGGTATCTATTTCTACCGTTGACACTCCCAATTAACACCTTCAAAATGCAACTCCTTAATCTATTGAAAAAATGGGTAGAGGCATGTCTTCCTCACTGAATTATTGAATTACGCAAAAAAAAAAAACGTTGAAACTTATATCAAAAGAAATGAATAAATACTTCATTTCGTAGGCACCTTTTGATAAATTCACTTACAGTAATCAACCAACCTCAAGGGTTCACGAAGATGATCTCATCAGCCAATTTATCAATGGAGTGGTTTTTGGTTTTTTTAATAACATCATTTAATGCAAGTACCCCTTTGGACTATTTTGTTAAAATGCTCAAAATGCCAATGTCTTGGATTTTAAATCTTAAACATGTATGGGCATTTTAGTCATTTAGCCCATTATCAAAATGTGCCTTGTTTTATATTCCAAATCTGGTGCAATATTTTTTTTATGAAAAAGAAAAGCATTAGGATTTGGGGGCCAAAGCAAGTGAGGTTAGTTTCATTATTTGGCTCAAAACAAGTTAAGTTGAGCCAAATAATATAAGTACCTGTGCTTATTTTAAGTAAAACTCATAACAATATAGATTAGTGACGAAAAAATATTAAATGTTTGAAATTTGGAACAATTTGAGGTATCTAGGTCATTTGGTAGGGCAGATCAAGTGAGGTAAATTATTGAAATATCTCAAATTGTTCAAGATTTAGAATATGACTATTCTAAGTATTTTTTAATAAAATAGTTGATCAAGTACTAGAGCGTATTTTTCCAGACAAACTTAAAAAGTTTAGGAAGGAAAAACAAAATGATAATTCAGCGATTTTCAATTGGGTCAAGACTCTTCTAAAGGACACTCTTTAAGAGTTCAAGATTTAAATCCTTGCTAATCTAACTAATACATAAGCAAGAATACATCTAAGATTATATTGTTCTTCAAATGAGGTCCCAGGACTATTATGGTGTATTAAGTGGGATGCCTTCCTTCAAATATTAAAGCCAAATGATTAGGAGTATACGTTGCATTTATTCTCTTTAGGTAAAATTCAATCTACAAGTAATTTTATGCTAATATCAATAAAAAAGTTTCCAAGTTGCACTCTCTATGCATTTTAAAAAATAATGTTTCAAGATTGAACATAGACCGTTCACTTTATGGAGAGTGTGATCCAAGTTTAGAAAACTCAAAAATTTCTAGTGAAGATCATGTAATTATTCTTAGGTGGTTCAAAAAAATTTGAATCAAGCAAATCTCTCAACTAGGTCCTCTACCCAAGGGAGTAGATGTACAGTATACTCCCCAGGTTGCATGGTATACATGCTCAACATTAAAAGAGATCATGGGAGAAGCAGTGGATGGGTTCTATTTGCAGGATTCCTGCCATAACCTCGAGACTGTTGTAATCTCTCTCTCTCTCTCTCTCTCTCTCACACACACACACACACACACACACAAGAACTTTCATAACTACTAAATTTACCTCATTTATTTCCTTTTCTATGGATAATCTTACATTTGCCATAACAAATCATAAGAAAAAATTATGTTCTTAATTAAAAAATGGATTCCACAGGTTAATGTCACTATCATTTTGGCAATTATCTAACAACAAAGTAAAAATGTGTTGCAGAACTTGGAAAGGCCCCAAAGTCAAATGACACACCCCAACTCCATCTACAAATACCATATACAACCACCATTGCCTTAATACAGTCCACAGTCCAAGCTCTAAGTTCTTAAATATTACCATATTCCTTTATTCAGGGTTTATGTGAAGAGCATCCAAAGTGAAGAGCATAATTGAACTTAATCAATCAAAATTGGAGCAAAAGAACATACAGAAAGATCATTTACCTTTGGCAGAAGGTCACAATTATTCTCTAAGTTGTGTGAAATTGGATGGCTGAGGGTGTACAATTCACAACACTCATACCAACAAAAATTTCGTCAAACTTTGTGAGGATAAAAGACACGCTCCTAGCCACCCAATTTCACATCTTATAACCAAGGTGATCATGACCTTCTTGTTAAAAAATTAATGGTTTTATAATACACAATCCCATATTTGGGAGTGCAATGCACAATAATTTATAAGGAACATTTCATTGGCCACTGTAAATTGGCTTCCTTTTCTCAGCAAAGGCCACTAGTCCTTCCAATCGATCTCTTGAATCCAACACTTGCCCGTAACACTCCCGCTCAACTGCCATCCCTGAAGACAAGTCCATGTCCGACCCTCGATCTATGGCATGTTTAGCCATCCTAACAGCCAATGGCCCCTACATGAATCAATTAAACACATTATTTACTACCTTCCTTCCTAAGAAGTACGTAGTATGTGTAAAAGAAAAACATTAACTACACACTCCCCAACAAGTTCTCTATGTTACATCCACTAAACTACTGTGCAAGTTCCTGAAGACATACATAAAGACATGCATATGTGCTTCTACACATGCCACATGTACGTAACATGCTAAAACAACCATTAATTCCCCATCCAACAAGTTTCTATCATAACATCCCAAACCACAGTCAGTTCCTATATGCTGCATGTGCACAAATGCATATATACAAATATGCAATACCACCCTATGATACCATATAAGTGTACTCTAAATTGAGAAAAAGGAAACAGGTAGATGGCTTGAAGAATTAGTGATGAATGCATGATACCACCGTTGTATAAAGGAAAAAATGTAAACAAAAAAATAATGTATTTTAACATTCAAAAAAATATATATAATGTAAACAGAAAGAATATGCACCAGGAATGATGGTCTACCCATGGGATTGAGCTTCTTTAAATTGAGATTTTTTACCTTTTGGTTGATATCTCTGGCTATTTCAAGAGCCTTTGAGTATGCTTCTCCTGATGGGACACAGTGGTTGACAAGGCCTGTGTTCCCAACATTTTAGGCATCTGTGAGTTCTAATATTTGTGCAACATACCCATTGAGAGAGAGAGAGAGAGAGAGAGAGAGAGAGAGAGAGAG